CCCTCACACACTCTTCACCCCCCTTTTTATACTAGCTCCTCCCCTTAAGTTCCACCCTCCATCACACCATAGGCTGATGACTCACTGCCCAGCTGTGATGGACATGTGATGTTATGTCTGTCCGTTACAGATGGTGCTTCATGTTACAGAGGGACAATGACCCAAAACATACTGCTAAGGCAACCCAGCAGTTTTTTAAGGCAAAGAAGTGAAATATTTTGCAGTGGCCAAATCAATCACCTGATCTTAACCCGATTGAGCATGCATTTTTTTTTTGGACTTATATACCGCCCCATAGCGCTACAAGCACTCTCCGGGCGGTTTACAATTTTAATTATACAGGCTACACATTGCCCCCCCAGCAAGCTGGGTACTCATTTTACCAACCTCGGAAGGATGGAAGGCTGAGTCAACCTTCAGCCGGCTACCTGGGATTTGAACTCCAGGTCGTGAGCACAGTTTTAGCTGCAATAACCACTGCGCCACGAGGCTCTTTTCCATTTCAGTTGTTGAAGACAAAACCTAAGGCAGAAAGACCTGTGAACAAACAACTGAAGTCAGCTGCAGCATTATAGAAGGAAAGCCAGTACCGTATTTGGTGATGTCCATGAATTCTAGACTTTAAGCAGTCATTGCCTGCAAAGGTCTGCACTTCAATTGAATCTTGGTTGTTTCATTTCCATTTTGGTGACCAAAATGTGTGTCAGTGTGCAATTATTGTGTCAGTGTGCAATTATTTCCGGATCTAAGTGAATTATGAAAATTGCGTCAGTGTGCAATTATTTCCGGATCTAAGTATATAGTTGTATGATTTATGTTACTGCTGTATATTGTTTAAGCTTATATTTTTTAAGCGTGCAGGGGTCTTAGACTGTGAACGTAGTAAACCATAATTGGAAGCAAGTTCTGCTAAAGTTGATTAACAATTAACAAAGTTTAGATTCAGGCTGTTAGTAAGCTATGTCACTTTGCTACAATACAGAGATATCTAGCACTACATAGTGGATTGTCTGTGATCACATCATAGTCGTATTATGTTTTAACTCAATGTATTTTTTAAAATAATGGTAGTTTATGTGTTGGATCTCACATTCCTTTCAGTGGTATTCAATATAATATTCCCTGTGTGCAAATGATCATATAGGGCTAAATCCAGTTGTTAGTCGCAACACAGAGTGGAATTTGTTAAATCAATACTTACATAAATCCCATTGATTTAAAGGGTTTACCTAAATTGAGACTAATAGGTGGATTTGGCCCATAGTGCATTATGTCAAATCTAAATAGCCAAACTAGTTTTTAGTGTAAAGCTGTGATGTATATATATTGACCTAAAAAGGTTGATAGCAGTATTGATTTATATCCATAAATCCAGAAGAGGTGTAATCATAGCTATTTCACAGTGCTTTAAAATAGCAAGTACAATAAATATGAAACAGATTTGTTTTTTTCCCAGAAATGAAATTATACTGATTTCTTTTTTCTTAAAACATGAACACTTTAGCATCCTGTAACCTGGCAACCATCCAAAGATGGAGATCGTTTAATTGGTCGGATTTTGTTAAACAAAAGATTAAAAGATGGAAGTGTGCCTAGAGATTCTGGAGCAATGCTTGGACTGAAGGTTAGTAATTGAGTTTTTCTTAGGAGTTAAGCTTTAGATACAAGACACTTTTATGATAAATGTATATATGAACATATGATAAATTGTGCACGTGTTTTTGAATACTGATGAAATAAGTCCACATTGGTGCAATACTTTCAAAAGTGGTATTTTGGCATTTTGTTTAGGAATCATACTCTAATGGTTAAGAATGATGTGCAGAATCATATTGGTTATTTACTCTGGCACTCTAAAGTTGTGTTTATGTGCTGTCAGGTCGCCTCTGACTCCTGATGAACCACATGAATAAGCGTTCTCCAACTTGCTCAGCTCTTGCAGACTCAAGCCCATGCACTCTTTCAGGGAGTCAGTGCATCTCATATTTGGTCTTCCTTTTTTCCTGGAAGTAATACAATAAATAGCATAAATCTCAGCAGCAAATTACTGATTGTGAATGAGTCATCACTTATCAACAGTTCCAGTAAGACACCTTAGCCTGTGGGCATGACAGATATATGACCAGTTCCAGTCACCCATTGAGAAAATTCCGTTTTCTTATCCAAGTATACCAACGTAACTTTGTTGCTGTTGTGGAAGTTATCAACTCGTGGGGGAACTGACTTGAAGTTACGCTGGATATGTATGTTCAGCTTCCATTTTGATCAGCAGTAAAAGACTTTATTATTTGTAACAAACCAGACTAAATAATCTGACCAGAATAATAGACAAAGACTTGTTCTTTCTCCTTCACCCCTCTGTATCCTAACTGCTTACTCCTTTTTGCTGCCAATTACCTATAGAATTCCGCTGTGCAGTCACATCTCAGGAAAGAAGGCCAATCATAGTGAAATTTTCTCAGCATCAAATCAAATTGTTTGTCTTCCCTCTTTTGACATAAGAACTAAAATAATACTTTATATTTCTCGAAATATACATACATGTGATCTGCTGAACCAAACTTTATTAAACCCTGCCATCCTCCATTTTGCTAGAGACAGATTGATAAACCTTTTCATGCTTTGTGGTACTATTTCTGCCTCCTTGTTATTTAACAGCAGCAGTAAAACAACTCTGCCTGCCTGTTGAAAGTTGTAGCACAAATGTGAAGGAAGCATGTGCTGATAATTAGGTTGATTTTTGTGCAGAAGAACTATGGGTAGTGTTTGATTTTGATGCTCAAAACAAATTATTGGGCATAGCGTGTGTCTTTTGCATCATGCTTTAGTTGGGGATCACAGGAACTTTGTAAAGAATAGAAAAGAAAAAAGTATTCCCATTAATCGGAAAAAATATCCTTCACTGCCCTAGGTTTTGATTAAATGGTTCACAGTCACCAGTTCACCAGTTCCCAATAAATGGACTTGTACAATTTCCCCAGTCTGCTAATTGATCCCTATAGTGAGAAGTAATTTCAGCAGAAGTAAGGTATTGCAGAGGTGTGTGTTTGGTATGTGCATGATTTATACAGTCTCAGAGCTGTTCTACATAAAGCAGGTTGTTCAATTTTAATTATTAATGCATTGTCCTTGTAATAACTACGGTTCTCTAGTTGGTGTATTTGTTATTTGTTACAAGATGGAATACAAACAATGGAATAATTGCCCTCTGAAACTACAAACCTGATTCTTTAGGGGGAATGAAACTCATTGCAGAACTGTCTGAACGATGCTTAACAAGGCAGATGAACAAACAACAAAGTTGATTTTGGTTGAAAAACTGAAAACAGTTTAAAAAATTCATTTGTAGATTTCTTAACTGTAATGATTGACCTGCTTTCAGTACTAAGCAAATACCTTTCAATATCAGTTCAGTCTGCAATATTCAGTACCAATGCATAGATAATTCATGGTTTTCTGATGTGATTAGGCACCTAATTGTCAGAGATTTAAGATAATCTTTACTCCTATATCAGGCAAAAACAAAAGAAAAATAATAAAAAAGGCAGAAGTGTTGTGGCACCTTAGAGACTATTATGTTTGAATGTGAGCTTTCATGGACCTTCTTAGCCCACTAGTTAGTCTTTAAGGTGCCACAGTGCTTTTGTACTACTGCTGCTACTATTACTACAGTATTTGTTTTTGCCTGATATATTCGCCAGAACAACATGGCTAACTCTTTTAAAAATGCATCTTTACTAACAAATTCCTACCCATTCTCAACCTTTTTTTGGCCACGACCATAAACACAATATGAAAAAATATAGGCTGAATCAGGGTTGTATACATTACATAACAAATCTTACAAGATGGTGTATGAAGAATTTTTTCCAGTCTATGGCCCCTTCAAATGTGCCAGGGTATCTATAGTGTTGTGCTTTTTTCTCATTTTAACTAGGTTGTTGGAGGAAAAATGACCGAATCAGGTCGGCTGTGTGCGTTTATCACCAAAGTGAAAAAAGGAAGTTTAGCTGATACAGTGGGACATCTTAGACCAGGTAGGAAATGGAACTTTAATTTAATTTTGTAAGATTTCATATGGTGTTATTGAAAAAGCCTGCCATCCTAAGATACAGATGTAGCTCTTGGAATCAGAAGTGTGTGATACAGGATTGATGACACTCTTACAAGAAGTGTTCATGGATTTGGAAATCACTTTCATCATGAGGAAGCAGATTTCTGAAAACTGATTTTACCAATGGCTGCAATTTTTGGAAAGACTCCTCCCACAGCATTCCTGTAATGAAAATGATTCCATGAGATCCTCAAGACCTTTAGAGGAGAATTGTAATTTTTTACTTCTAAAAAATTGCTGGGTCATAAATTAAGGAACAAGATTTCAACCAGTGAGTCCATGTTTGGACTTTTTTTGTGTGAATGCACCAGTATGGTTAATTGCTGGTGAGAACCTGCTGTGACCTATGCTTTTCACCTTCTACAGTCATAACTAAGCAATGGGATTTTGACCACTGTACTGGGTTAGCTCATGCACTGGCTGTGTGGAGTGCACTGATCAAAATTTCACACCTTGATCCTCTTCATGAGCTGCCCGTGAGCTGTAGTATACTAGTATTCAGAGAATTTACCCCATGGGAAGTCCAATTACAGCTGCCCTGGGGAACCAGGATTCCCAGATTTTTCAATTGCATTATTGCTTTGTTTGAAACTCTCATATTGTTTCCAATCTAAGGTAGTAAAACCATTATAAGAGTATTGTGACACTATAGTGCAGCACTATGAGGCACTGTGGCCACCATCCTTTCCCCACCTGTGAGATCTTGGAGGACAATTAAATGATCAGCTGCCACAGTGCCAAGAAGTGATGTCAGTGCTATGAGCACAGTTGATCTCCCACCTGTGTCACTGTGACCAGAGGTGCATAACCAAACATGACTAGTGGGGGTAGTTGGCCCTGTTGCAGGCAGCAGCTCCTATGAGGTGACAGGTACAGGCTTGCTCCTCTGTGCAACAATCTCAGCAGGACAAGACAGAAAACAAAACTACTCCAGCAGACACTTGGGGTGAGGGAATCCCAGAGAAACCCAGAAAGGGAATAGCATTCAGGCCTCCTGGCAGTGTGATTTTCAATAGCAAATACATTGGTATTTGGCAGCTGCCTCACATTTGAAGGTTCTGTTTGGCTAGTAAGCTGGGGTGGGGATCTAATGGGGAACAGGGTTATCTGATGTCTCCTTTAGCCTATTGTCCAACAGAATAAAGAAGCCTAGCTAACTAACTCAGAGTCCTAGACCAGTAGATCATGTCTCAAGGAACTGGTTCTTACCTGTTCAGCAATCCCAGTCCTGCGAGGAGTAATTCTTCATTTAGTGATTTAGCCGGTAGTCCAATCTTGCATGCACTTATGCTGTGAGCCTCATCTGGCATGTGCTTAGTCATCTGGTGATCTTAAACCTAACTGCAGTTACCTGTCCAGTAGTCATGGACCTAAATGTCTGCCCACTTGACAATCCTGTTCTTGCCCTTAGCTTCATTTCTGGTGGTCAAGGTCCTATACTAACCTACCAATGGGTTGTCTGGCTACAACTTGCACCTACAAGACCCAGAATCCCCGTTTAGTCCTGTAAGTGACCTACAACACAGGACTGTAACCTGATTGACAGATAGGTCCACTCTGGATATTTTTGTAATACTAATAAAGAGAAAGATCCTGTTTAGAAAAATTGCAATAAAGGAAGATTTGTTCATCTGACTTTGAGTTTAATGTGTGTTTCATGGGACAGTAGAGCTCAGTTGTTTGATGTGTCCCTCCATATCGAAGACAGATCACACACACCTTAAAGACTAATAAGTATAAAAAAGCGAGTTTATAAGAAAATTTTTAAAAATCTAGGTCTAAATTTAAGGAGCCACAAGATTCTTTGACATTTTTGCAGCAGAAGATTAGCATAGCTTGAAAATATAAATAGAGCTCTCTTAAACTCTACTCTCAACTTGGGGTCAAAATGGATAATACAGTTAGCTTATTGTTACAAATGGGACTTTTGTAAGTGTGGAAAGATCCTTATTTTTCATTTGCATGCTTTTACTAAATTGCATGAGTTGTATTCTAGCAAACTGTGTTTTGTGATTGCACATTGAAAAGTATGTGCTTAATTTGGAAGTCTGTTCATTCAGGGTTGTATCTCTGAGGATATCATGTTGTAGGTGAAAAAAAATCAGTCTTTCAGTTTACCCTTGATGGTAATGACATTTAGATCATTTCATCCACTGGTTCCTTTAAAACATCACTTAACATGAAGAATGCTGAATTCAGTGCCTTATTACCTAAATGTAACCATTTTGGAAAACCTGTTAATGGATGCGTTTGGATTCAGTAGGGTGGTTCTGTACATTATGACAGAAGATGGATAATGCAAAGGAAACAATATATCAGTTCATCTGTTGTGAGACTATATGCCTGAATAGGAGAATTCTATTTCATTACATTTTATATAAGGTGAAATGCTCTCTTATTCGGATATAATTATGTTTCTGTATTATTGATTGGGGGTATCATGCCATTAAAAAAAACTAAATTTAAGTAATGCTAGGCCTGAGCAGTCCACAAAGGAAGTTAATCAGTCCAGAACAATAACTTACAGGAGTTCTTCCTCTTAAACAAATTATTCTGGCTTTTATTTCAGGTGATGAAGTATTAGAATGGAATGGCAAGTTTTTGCAAGGAGCCACCTTTGAAGAAGTGTACAATATCATTTTAGAATCCAAACCAGAGCCACAAGTGGAACTTGTAGTTTCGAGGCCAATTGGGTGAGTGGTGTTAGAAATTTTCTTCTTGAACCTTTTGGAATATGTACAGTATTTCTTAGAAAGATGTTCTAAATTGATTTTCATGTTGGACAATCAATTCATTATCTTGAATCATAGAATCATGAAGTTGGAAGGGGCCTATAAGGCCATCAAGTCCAACCCCCTGCTCAGTGCAGGAATACAAATCAAAGGATATCTGTCATGTGGTTGTCTAAATTTATCTTGAATGCCTCCGGTTTTGAAGCACTCATCACCTGTCAAGGTAATTGCTGTTCTGCTCTAGCAGTTAAGAATTTTTTTTCATGATATCCAGATGAAATCTGGCTCTGTGTAACTTGAGCCCATTGTTGCTTGTCCTGCACTCAGGTATGATTGAGAACAGATCCTGCTTCTCCTTTGTATGAGAACCTTTCAAGCATTTGAAAAGTGTTATTATATCTTCCCCCAGTCTTCTTTTATCAATGCTAAGCATGCCAAATTCTTTCAGTCTTTCCTCGTAAGGCTTCGTTTCCAGCACCATGATAATTTTTGTTGGCCTCCTATGAACTTGTTTCAATTTGTCAGCATCCTTCTTAAAATGTACTGTACTGTCCAGAACTGGATACAGTACTCAGGATGAAGCCTAACCAGTGCTGAACAGAGAACTAGTCTCTCTCTTCTGTCATAGATGCATATCTTACTTGCAGTAATGATTATTAAAATCCATAATTTATCAGGCTTCTCTTTAACTTTTCAGAAACTTCCAACTGATTTAAAACATAGCTGCCAGATTGTAATTTAGAAATCATTATAGTAGCAATATCTCACTGATACTGAAAGTTCTCCAGTAAGCCATGCTTTATTCCTATATAAATCACAGTCCTGGTTCTAAACCAGCTTGGACTAAACCTGTATTTAGAGCAGGGATGGGAAGGAATTAAATTGAGATCCACTAGTAGATCACTGATAATTTCCATTAGATTGCAAATGCTTAACAGTACCACCAGCAAAACTACCTCTGCTCCACCCTAAATTATATAGTTGAAATGAGAAAAACCAAAGAGATGCAGGCAGGAGTGGTATTTACATGAAAGGATGATGAACTCTCTTGAAACTGGCACGAAAAGAGGTACAAATGAACCAGATTCCTGGCCTCAAAACATGTAATACTAGAGGAGTGTGTATGCTCAAGCTGGTTCTGGCTTTTAAATCTCAGGATTCTAGTAAAAATCAAGGTTGTTCTTGCAAACCCAAGGTCTGTCAACTCCTGACCTTGAAGACCAGGCTTATTTCAGCCTCTTTAGAGCATCTCCTAAGGTCTTTCTCCCTTACTTTTAGGGATTAATCAACTTGGGAAACAGAGAGACAACAACCCTATTCAGGCATTGCAGAATATGGGGTGGTCAATCTTTGACCTTTCTGTTGCCAGTTTTTCATGTGATCACTGGCAGATCTGAGGAGGACAGGCTTTTCTTTGTGTGTAGGTTCTGTAACAAGGATGTTGAAAGCCAAGACTGTATATTTTCTATCGAATCTGAATAAAAACAAGTAGGTCTGAAGTGTGATTTTTACCCCAAGGCAGGTTACTTCAGGTTTTGAAAAAATGCACAGGTTATACCCACAAGATCCTATGGGTGAAAAAAGAAGTCCTCCCCCTGCCTCCCCACGGACCTTTCATGGCTCTCTACAATCATAATAAGTGGTCTGGCAGAGAAAGAATATAGTGTTCCATTTTATTTTCATGATGATTTAGAAAATGGTGCTTTTCTTCTGTAGTTACTGAGGATCCAAGCGGATAGAGGACAGAGGGAGTAATCTGTAATTTGTCAGCAAAACCACTCACTCTTCTGCATAGAATTATTGTCTATGGTTAAAAAGTGAATTATTCATAAAAGACTGTATTATTATCATGCAGATTCCATGCAAAGGCTGCCCTATTAGCTAAAACGTTAAACTAAAAATAGCTTTTAATCTGCTCATGGTTCTGTGGATGTTCGTTCTGTGCTCCTATTTTAGTTTTCTATTATTAGTGTTTGATTGCTTTATTGTTGTTCTGTGTTTCTCATTTTTAGTAAAATAGTATTTTTCCTGGAAGTTATGGGTAAAGCAAATAATGCTTTGTTTGATTTCATATATTGCATTAATACAGACTATTTTTCACACACAGAGTGACTTTTTCATACTAATGTTATACAGATCTCTGTGTGTTCTTATTTTGTAAAAATTTCAACATGGTAATCCAGTGTAAACAAAATTAGAAACCACACCTTGTTACAGGAACAGCCTGGCTAAATCTTGGAATTGTGCCCTGCCATCTAAGAAGGAAATTGAAAGCTTCTACTTTTAGTTGTAACTAACCACAGTTAGTTCCCAATGCAAAATAGGATCAAACTGTAGTTTAGTACAGTATGAACCCCTTATCCACGGGATCAATATCCATTGATTCACCTACCCACAGCGTGAAAATATTGAAAATATTAAAAGAAAAAAACCCCAGAAAAAACTATTTCAACATATATTACCAGAACTGGCCACTAGAAGGAGCCAGAGACCATGCTATGAATACTTGTTAGTGAAGAATACATAGCATTGCCCGCTAGTGGCCAGTTGTGGAAATGCATGTGGAAATAATCTTGTTCTGTTCCCCCCCTTTTTTTACCATTATCTATTTTTTTACTATTATCTACAGTTTTTAGTATCTCTGAGGCTGGTGGAGGACTTGGAACCAGTCCCCAACAGATATGGAGGCTGTACTGTACCTTTTTTAGGCCATGGCCATAACACAATATGAAAGAAATATAAGTCGAATCAGGATTGTATAGATTGTATAATGAACATTATAAGGTGGTGTGCATGAAGAATGGTTTCCAGTCTATGAAACTCTTCATATGTGCCAGGGCCCTCATTGAGAATGGTTGGGCCCCGGCACATTTAGTATATCCTGGTTTGTTGACTAGAAGAGATTATGCAGGCATCAGAAGCATATATAAGCTTGTCCTTGTAATTAATGTTAGTTCATTACCTTAGACCCACACATTGAGACTCACTGAAGCTACAAACTGTAGATGCAGTTCTTTAGGGAACAATCAAAGCAAAAAGTATATTTAATATTATAATTGTTAAGATTGGAAGCACATGTAAATTTCTTTACTTTGCACTTTTAAAAACCTTTAAGAGGTTTACTGGAAAGGTTGCTTGTATCCAGTCTGCTTTGGATATTGTAAAATATTCAAATGAAATGGTGCTTTTGTGTTACGTTTGCTTGGCTCCCTTTCAGCCTGTTTCATACGTGGATGTCAACATCTGGTCAGTCACAATACATTAGCAGACCACTTGTAGAAATTGTGGACACCGATGAGGTAACAATGTACTTCAGCACTTATGAAGTAGTCTGCTTGGAACTAATCAAATCATACATTAAAAATGTGTTGGTCTCTGTATTACAGCACTGCACCTCTGTCTCTCAGTATCCATTCATTGGAGATAATGGTTTGTGTCTATGGTGTCTGTCCTAGACCAAACATTGCTAACCGTTCTGCCCCCCTCTGCCCCCCATCCCCTGTGCACACTCAAATCTGCTTTGAAGGGTTGGGCGACTAGGTGGAGCATATTGGCAGGGCACTGGGGTGTGTGTGCAGAAGGATTTGAAGTAGGAGGGGGGAATTTTTAAGTCCCATTGTGGGAATGGAACCAACTCATATGACATTGACTGTAACTCATTAATTTCTATTTTCTGTGATATAGGTATTCTGCTATGTAGCATTCCTTTTTTAAATTTCTTGATGTTATGTGGTAAATAAATCTACATTTAACAGAAACAAGATAATCATGTTTTGCTCTTCACAATTGCAGGGATATTCCCCGAATACCTGACAGTACACATGCACAGTTGGAGTCCAGTAAGTTTACTTTTTATGGGTTAGTTACAAGTATTGTCACATATTTGAAGTAAGGTGGAAATTGGAAAGATGATTACACTTTCCCTGACTCTTACATATTATAGGTATATTTCTTCTATGTGACTTATCCATCTTTTCAATCTCTGTTTAATAATAAGCTATGAAAAGTCAAGAAATATAATGCCAGAATTGTGGTTTAACTCCCCTCCCACACGCTATTCTTTATTAAAAAGGGTGAAACAATCCAGTGAATAAAAATAGCATTGATTCCAATCCAAACTTTTTAATTTCCTGGTTTTTGTCAATATTATATGCCACAGCCTTATTAAATAAAATATATCTCATGAGGTTAGAGATTTAAAAAACAACAAAAAAATTTAAATAAATATACACCCTCTTCTCATGGTTTCCATGAATCACAGTTGGGTTTTGGGCCTAAGCTTGATCAGAATGATCCAGAATGCACAGCTGAAAACTCAAAGCTTTTTCTCCTCCCCATTATGCTGTGTGTTTGCTCCAAGCAACCAATGGTTTCCCCCCAGGCTCTCTCTGTCTTCTACAGGAATAGCTTCTCTGAGAGAGTGTGCTGCACTCTAAACTTTTTTTTAATTTAATTTTTGTTTTTGGTGCTCTTGTTACTTTTCCTGTCTTTCCTTTATTTTCCCTTTCTCCATCATTGTTATATCCTGAAACCTTAAAAAAGAAAAGAAAAAAGTAGTTCCCCCCATTTTAATGTTTCCTTCCCTCCCCTGCCCCACTTCTTATCCTTACTGGTACCTACCCTATCAAAATATATGGCATCTCTAGCACTGTTTAAAAAGTGCAGTGATTGTAGGGTGAAAATTCCTCACACTGACCATTATACTAAGTGCTTGTAATGTTTGGGGCAGACTCATTTATTGCTAAATTGTTCTATTTGCAAGGCCTTCACCAAGGTCACACTGAAAAATATTTGCAACATAAACTCTATCTCTGGCAAAAACAAAACAAAACAAAACCACCACAACAACAAACAAACAAACAAAACCCCCAAAAAACCCTCTTCAAGCCAGCAAACTGGTTCCAGACCATCTTTTGTTATGCAGTCTAATACAAGCCTAATCAGGTTGCAAACTCCCCTGAGGGCTCACCCCCAAGACGTTGTCTAGAATGATTGGCAGCCTGCAGTCTGAGATTCCATGTAATCTAAAAATGGATTCAGAACCAAAGTCTCCATTGGAATCAAAGAAAAGACATAGAAACTCAGTGTCCTTATATCGTATGAAGCAAAAGAAACTGACACCTCCAGTTAGCTAGGCAACAACATTCATATCAACCTCAGACCTCTCTTAAGAACATTTGTGCTCAGTTGCTCTTGGTCTTACCATCTGAAACTTCTCAGTATGCAGAAGAAGTACTATGCCTTGACTTGATATTGGAGGGAGAATTGCAAAGCTCTCCACTGTGGGACTTTGCCACTGACCTTAAAACCAACAGCACTTGAGCATCCTAACAGGGACAGATCTCTGTCTTATTCAAACTCTATGGTGCAATCAGGCTCAAGATCAAGATCCTCAGCTCAACATCAAGTCGATAGATCTGTCTCTGATATGATGTCTTCAGCATATAGATATTCAAGGTAACCACATGTAGACTCCATCTGTAGAATATATTATCCTTTTCCTGCTCTGTATTTCATGGCTCCTTGGAATTATCTTAGCATTGAGTAGCAATCTCTGAGAGTGGGTAGATTTGGCCACAAAACAAACTGGGACTCTTCCTCTTGGTTCCATGAGGATTGGAACTGACCTATGAGGTCATCAGCCCATTCACAATCTTCCCCAAGCAATCAACACCGACATCATTGATCTGATCCAAAGAAAGGAGGAAACATTCCCATTCAAAATCTCACACTCCTCACAGGGTTCATCATTCACATTCTCATATTTTACTGCAGTCTGCTATAAAGGATATCTACTCAGCAAATCTATCCAGAAGCAAACCCACAAGATAGGTGGGTAGACCTTCCACAGCTCATCCTAATACAGATACAGTCACTGAACCTAAACAAACTACAGAAAAAGTCAAGAGATTCAAATTCCTCACATTATGAAAAGCCACAGCCAAATGATTTTTATTCAGATTATTCCTTACCCTGTTCTCCTTTTCCATTTATTTTCTATCCTGAATCAGTGGTAAAGGACTAGTCTCCTCTTTTGCTGTCTAATGATATTTGACAGTATACAGATATTATTTAAAGACGGCAAAGTCTTTACAGATTCAAGTTCAGACAGGTGCCAAACCAGCAGCTGATCCAGATTTGCTTGGGTTCAACACAGTACTAATGGTCTAGTACAGCACTCAGTTCTGCAGACTCTTGACTAGTTTGGTTATGCAATTCTAGCTTAAATCTGTTCCTTCAACATCTTGTAGAATAGAAAATCTCTACAGAATTAAAGAAGAGGGAGTCCTCTATCTTGTGACGTGTACCTAATTCATTTATAGCTGAAGTCTCTCAAACTGGATCTAGAGTTTCCTTGTATTGAACACCCATTAATAAAGGATGTAAACTTGATCTGTTGGAATGTGGATTTTTCTCTTCAGCAACTTTAGGAATCTGGATATTGAACTACCAAGTAGCCATGTCTTCATATAACCCAGTGGTGTCGAACTGTGGCCCTCCAGAGTATTGAACTACCAAGTAGTCATGTCTTCATATAACCAATTCGTATAGGAAAGGTTACAACCTCTACTCACATGCTTACCTGAGGAGACAAAAAGCCGTGGCTCTTTTCAACAGGAAGCAATTTCATTATCTGCCTATTTGATTCACTCTTTGAGGCACATGGGTGAATGCTGTACCAAGTGTATGGCTGGGACTCTGAGGCATCATGCATGCTTAACATCATGGACAGAGGTTCTTCAACACAAAAGCAGACAAATGGATGTAGGACATGGTAAAGAAGAGAACCTAGGGGTGCCTCATCTCAAAATTATCAATATAACTAAAGACAAAACTAGACCATCATGCAGGAATTACCACCCTTACTCCAAAGCAGGTAACTATCAGAACAATCTTGAGCATCAGACAAGTTCACACCTCAGTCCTGCTGTTATCAAACTAAACAAAATAATTCCAAATCTATTTCAAAGAAATATGACTAGAAAACAAAACAGCAATTTTTGCTCACCTGTGACTGAGATCAGCCATACTACATTTCCTCAACATCCAATTTCTTTTCCCAGCAATGGGACTCTTGCACCATTTTTCATCACTTGGTGCAGGGTCACCAAGTATTTTTGGGTCCTTTCTGTTATCTCCCAAGGTTATGCATTAAAGTTTGCTATTTTCCCACCTACTGGCAAAATTTGCAAAACCATACCATCTCAGGTTCTACCAGAGGAGATACTGACTAGAAAAGAATGCAGTAAACCCATTTCCATTAACAAAAATTCAGGATGGTTTTTATTCAGGGTGCCTTACAGTCCCCAAGAGGGATGTAGGACTATTTCCTATCCTGGATCTATGTGCAGTCAACAAATACAGTATATAGTAACAAAGAAGTTTTACATGGTGATTCTTATCCTTCCATTGCTGGAGGAATGTAAATTGTTGACTATAGTAGACTTGAAGGATGGTTATTTTCACATAGCCATAAGGCAAAATCATTGTCATTTCCTTAATTTTGCTCTTAGAGGCAAGAACCTAAATTCAAGGTGCTTTTTGTCAGCCTATCTAGCATGTTTCCAGTGGCAGCATACCTAAGAGTCAGAGGTATTGCCACAGTCATATGCAGAGCTTCTCAGAATCAAACCACTTCAGTGAGCCTTAATTCAAAGATAAGCAAGCCAGAGTGATTTAATATTTGGCTTCCACTATATAGCAGTTTTCACATATTATGAATTGGGCATACATATACAGTAGCACCAGAGGAACGTCCCAAGTAATGTTTCAACTGCCTTTTCCATAACTTTCTTTTTTTTTGTTCCTGATTTCCAAGTTTTTTATGGTTTGTAAGGTGACTCCAGCATCTTTGATTATATCTGTTATTAATTATTCATTAATTAAGTATGAAAAAGCTCTGTAGTATATTCCTACTGGTTAATAGAAAGCCTTGTTTCAATATCTTTGTGTTTTTTTTGAGGTTTTATTTTTGTTCTAAAATATTATTGTGTTTAACTTCCTTCTTATGTATGTTGCATAACAGGCAAACATTTACACTGAGAAGTCTTGATCTTACCAGTTCCAGATAAAGATAGATTTTTGTATTTTATTGTGTTAGGTAATGGTGATAAAAAGCATTATCCTGTGGACACTGAGATGAATTTAAATACCATCCAGTCCCCATGAAATTACTTAAGTTACAATCCTTGAATCAATAATCACACATTGAATATTAATTCTGAAGTATATGTGAGAAGATGAAAGTGTTCAGTGTTAGAACTGACAAGGATTCCAAATATGTCTGTAATTTATTATAGTAGACCTTTTAAAATACCAGGCATAATCCATCAATGTAGTGTAATGTTAGTTGTAATGAATTTGATGTAGGCATATGTTCTATTTTCCTGCTGTATAATTTTAAATGTTTTCTTTGGTTGCATTGTATTAATTTGCTGATATCCTGTTGCTGAGTATAGTAAGTCACAACTAAAGTAGGCCCATGGAATCAGTGGGGACTTTGTGAGATCATTCATTTATAAAGTCCGTTGATTCAGTGGGCCTATTCTAGTTATGATTTACTACACTCAGCAACAGGATTTCAGCCATGGTTTATACAGTTTTTAGAAAAGTAGGTGTGTTAGTCTGTTTCGGCATGTGTAATAAAGACAAGACAAAAACTAAGGTATTGTGACACCTTTAAGACTTACAGTGTCAGGTTTTTGTGAATTATAGTCTATGAATTATCCAGAGAATGGAGTTGTACTCCTTGAGAGGTCAGATTAAAATTAGCCTTAAAGATGTTAAAGAATTTTTCCTTTTTTTGCTTTTGTTATTTTTTATGCAAGTCTCTTTAAGTATTATCATTTGCCTATATGTTTTCTCACAGTTTCTGTGTGTTTCTTTATACACAGAAACTTTTTGCCTTAATGCTTACATAATCAAAATGTAAAGTTGTGTAATTGATATTTTTAATAAAATAAAAATAATTGTACTTTCAGGCTCTAGCTCATTTGAATCTCAAAAAATGGACCGGCCTTCTATTTCAGTCACTTCTCCCATGAGTCCGGGCATGCTGAGGGATGTCCCACAGTTCTTATCTGGACAACTTTCAGTATGTAAAACTTGAGTTTTACTTATTTTTGACTTTTTAATAAAATACTTTCAATGAAAAATGCTAGATAGCTGCATATGAAATACGTTGTTGCCACTAATGTTCTTTTTGTTTACTTTTTTCTTGACACTGATTTTTAAAAAATAAATTTATATTCGGGATATTTATATGTTGTTACCGTATTTTTCGCACCGTAAGATGCACTTTCCCCCCACAAAACAGGGGGGTGGAAAGTCTGTGTGCCTTATGGAGTGAAGAAAACAGATTATTATATTTTCCTGTTTTCTTCTCCTAAAAAATTGGTGCGTCTTATGGAAAGGTGCGTCTTATGGAGCGAAAAATACGGTATTTGCTGTTGTGTATAAACCTGTATATGTAGTTCACTATAATTATGTGTTGAGATTTCAGTGAAATAATAGAAGAATAATGCAAAGACCAGTGTGTGGAATTTGGAAATGAGACTCAGGTTTTCAATAATGTAAAATTACTGGAAATGTCTAGGCTTCTGCAACCCATTCCTGAGAGATTGTTTTACACCATGTTATTCTGGGAAAATTATCTACTAGCCTTTGATTACATTTGTTCAATGTGGATATATTGTTCCATTGGAATCAGCCCAGGAGTACTTGTACACGCGCAAGTATGCTTATAACACTAATATTTGGAATGCTGTGAACCCTTCGTTTTCTTGAAAACTTGAGAAGAATTTTCAGAAGTGATTAAGATTTGGAATCTATATCCATGAAAATAATTGATATTAAAGAGTGAAGCTTAATAAGGCTGCTGATTTTACAATTTGAAACAATGTATATTTAGGTGGTGAATTAGGTAGAAAATAAGTACAGTATGCCTTTATAGAATACATAAAATACAGAGAAATAAGAAGTGGTTTCTTTTCTTTTTCCTGTCATTTGTTTCTGTAATAGTGCAGAATTACAAAAAAGTTATAAAACATCATAATTCACTTTGCTTCCTCAAACCAAGAAAAATATAGGTTAATTTTAATCCACATTAAATATTCTTGAATTTTATTTTATACTAAGTAAGAAAGTATTTCTTGGCCATAGAGAGCATATTGGATATAAATAATGTTGGAATTAATGGGATTTGTTGTAGAATGAGTTCTTATCTGTTAATATCTACAGAACTAAATAGATCTTTTGGATGGTCTTGATTTTATTTCTATTTTTGGAAAAAATGTAAATTCTGTTACTTATCACTTTGCTCATGTACTATTTTGAAAGACTACATGTAAGGATAAATTCCCCAAGAATTTCTCCACACTATTTATGTGGAAATTGCTAGGAAATTGTGATTGTAGAGAGCTTCACTATGGTAGAACCACTGAACTACAAGGACTTTGGTTTCCTAACATTTTCCTTTAGTCTGATGTGATCAGTTTTATTTATTACCAATAATATTTACATCCTTCTTTCAGGATACAAATGCTTCCTTACTAGTAGCATCAATATTAATCAATAAGTTCATACCTTTTTAGTAACATCAAAGAATAAATAATAAAATCTAAAAACAAATATGACAAAATGTAAGAAATATCAGTAACCTTCATGCAGAACAACTAGCAGCACATGGCATTGGGAGGTGAGGAAATAGTCTGGCTAGAATATGTTTGGACACTGGATCTAATCTATGCTTATCTTCTTTTCATTCTTGAAATGCTTCCTATAGGACAGATGCTATATATAGAGAGAGAGGAATCGGGCAGAAATAGGCTCTGGATGGTTCCCATTTTTTAATTTGTCCTAATCTCATTTTAGTTTTCTTTTAAACTTAAACTTAAATAACCTCTATCTCTATTAAAAGAAGCTACACCTATCCATGCCAATGCCACAGAAAATACTGGATTGCTATCCCAATATAGCTGTCATATGCCTAAGCAGGAATGGTTTCCCCATTCATTTCACAAGAGATAGCATGACCCAAATTATTAGATTCCTCCCCAACCGCTCCTCGCTGTGTGAAACCTATGAGCCACATGTGACCCTGCAGCATTTTTGTGGTCCCCAAAACTCTGTGAAGTTTCTTTTTAAAAAAAAAAAATGGATAAAAATTCCATGACTCTGTTCCTGGAGACTTCAGGTTTTTTGATCAAGGGCCTCACTGGTAAGGGTTTTCATATTTATTCTATTTATTTGATTTATTGAAAATATTTTTACCCTGCCCTTCTCCTTGAATGGACCCAAGGTGTATAGGGCCTCCCTGTCTCTTAAAAAAGAGAGAAAAAATTTAAGGCACTTTTAAGACACATTTTTTTAAAAAGCCTGAAAATGATTATTTGTGAGCTTAAGTCCAAAATTTGCCTTCTAAGAGTTGTGAGAGCATGTACCCCTTATCTAATGGTTCATTGATTTTGTATACATTTTGGAAGACTGCCTTGTAGTCTATAGAGTGAAAGGGGGGAACATAGGATAGTAAGAGATAATTTTGTATAAGGTGAATGGATAGGAATCAAATTGTTATCTGTGTTGATAACCACTAAACAAATGTTTCTTGTTATCTAATGGTTCTAGCCACTTTTCAATTCTTTAGATCAGTACAGCTGAAATTCTTCATTGGTGTTTATCTCTACATTCATGAGGCAAGATAATACCTTTCATCTTTCTGGGACAATGTATGATATTCATCTACTTCCTCCCTCTTCTTTTCCTTGGCTGTTTGTTTTTTGTAACAACAACAACCGCCCAGGTTTATTCAGAGTATCCCAATACTAAGTTCTCATTTGTGTACTCATTATTGATTAGTCATTTGGTGAGTGTGGTGTAAGGCAGATCCATGCTTCTTGCTTCATATGTACTGTATCTGCTGGCTGGAGTTGATTACATGGTATAATATGTCTGGCCCTGAATTAGTTGGAATCCATTATAGCTCCATTATATCTGTGAGGGCAAAGGGGAAGGGGGCCTGGGGGTTTCCATTCACCTCTGTAGGCAGGTTTTAAATCACAATTTATACAAGTGAAATCTTACCTCTTTGCAGAGATGGATCCAATCACAGAATGAAAGTGGAACCTAAGTTTCTTTGTTCCTCTGCCAAGCCCCTAACTCCACCCAGTTTGTGTCATTGCAGTAACAGTGTTCTGGCAGGGGTCCATTAGTAGTAGGTATTATTAGTTCTGTGTGTCAAAAGACTGGGATAGAATTGCTGTTTAAACATATCTTTGGGATCAGTCAGGTATAGAGAGTGGAACTGTTTCTACATATTTGGAGTGAGCTACAGGTAGGATTGCCCTGTTAGTTACCGTAACGGATGGTTTACTATGTAATTATATTGAAGGATCTCTGGCTTGTTTCCTCCAAACAGCTATTAATTTGGCCACTAAAGGAAAGCTGTCTTATGTTTCTCCTACGCACGTGTCTAATGAGTTGCCTTTAGAGCATTGTATACTACTATCAGCACACATCATATAAATCATATAAATGACGTGATTATTGGTTTTGAGCAATGTGTTAACACACTGTGTCTATCTGCTTCCATATTAAACAGTGGTTTGTTTTATGTTTCATGATTACATGTCATATCAGGATTGGGAAACCTTAGGAACCAAAACAGGGCTCTGATTACAACTAGAGACAAATATGTATGTGGAATTTATGTAGTGTCCTTTCCATCTTAAAACAAAGTATAGGATCTTTGTGATCATAAGGTGAGTTTTTTGTGAGTGGTTAGAATCCTATTGGTTAGTTACGCCAATAATGTGCAGTGGCCTAAATCACAGTATTCAATTGCTGCTATTTATTTATTTATTTATTTATTTATTTATTTATTTATTTATTTATTT